CAGATCCTAATAAACACTTATTATTATAAGTGTTCATTATTACAAATTTGAACTATCTGTTACTAATTCTAGTATTTAACTATACTCAAGCATTATACTTCTATCCTCCTTTATTAATTGTACTATTAGCATTTCTAACAATTACCCTAAGTTTGTCATTCTTCATAAGTTTTAACTTGAGGGCTTTAGCTATTTTTGGTAATAAAGTACTTAATTCTATACTTGAGTCAAACATAGTCTTAATTGTTACTTACTGTCCTCTGTATAATATAATTACTTTACAGGTAGGATAGAGTTCTACTTGTACTATCTAGTAGATTTTTGTTAGTTACTTTTCTTGTAGAGTTTCTTTTACCTTTTTCTCTACACCTGAGTTTAAAGACTCTACTACCTTTAAACTCTGAATCAAAAATCCTCTTTACTTGATCCTTCTGTTTCCTCCTCTTCATTAATACTAGCTTCTCATTCTTTAGGGATTACTGTGTTCCTTTTTGTGAACTTCCTGTTAGATTTATACTTTAGCCTTTTACCTTAAGGATTTCTTCTAGTACAATTCCTGACCATATGTTCTTTCTGCCCACATTTGAAGTATACCATTTCCCTTCCTTTTGTTATTCTATCAATTTCTATTAGTACTTTATAATAATTACTAGAAGGTTTGTATTCTTGTCTAAATGTCTTTGTGTATACTATTCCTCTCTCTAGATTAAGAGCTGTGTCTGTCTATTCCTTAAATGTTCATTCTGTATAACTAGAGATAGTAACCAACTGTTATAATTTACTAGAGTTTAATCCATTTTTATATAAATGAATTGTGACAGGATTGTTTCTAAGTGCTTCTAGTTTATACTCCTTAAGTAGGTAGGCTAATATTCTCTTGAATGTTTCATTGTATTCTATAATTGTTGGTTTTCCTTGTCTCAAATTGTGCATTTGAGTTTGAGCTGTCTCTATAGAATTATAGTATTTTCTACTTACTTCTCTTAGATCAGTTAAAAATGTTTTATAATCTTTCCAGATTTCTGAAACTAAGCTTTTTCCTTCTGTCACAAATAATATAGTCTTTCTATTCATGTAACTTACTATTTTCCCTCTTAAGTATAAAATTACTGTTTCTACTTTATCCAAATCATTTGTAATGTTGTAATGTCTGAAGTGTATTACTAGATTTGTTTTAAACACTTCTAAATCTTCCTCTTTCTGTTCTGAAAACTTTAACAGTTTAAGATTGATTTTCCTTATTCCCTCTATATTACTCTCTTTCTAGTTACTAGATTCTGAATTTAGTGTATAAGAGTCTGATAAACTTGACTCTAAACTAGTACTACTTTGATAGACCTAGTACAACTAACTATAATAACCCTGTGTTAGTATTCCTTCTACTATAAAAGTATCTAGTAACATAAACTGTTCAATTTCTTTAACTGTCTAGCCTTCCTGAGTAATAACTTCTGACTAACCTTAAAGGCTTCTAGAGGATCCTAGTAGACTATCTGAATGTTGTGTTTCAATTCTACTATACTCTTAAAATGTTTGGATTCCTCCCTGTATTATGTTAACAAGCTCTTCTTCTTTAGCTAAAGAACCTAATAGTTTACTTTCTTGATTTTCTTAGATTGTATCTTTCTGAGTAAAATATTCTTGTCTCTAAGAGTATTAAGTATTAGAAGTACTTCCTTCTCTCCTATCACTTTGTTGTTCCTCTCTACTAATATTTTGTAATATAGTAGTTAGGTTGAATTGTGACTATACTAACCTGTTTAGGAATACTTGTACTATTCCTGATTCAACTTGTACTTCTTGTACTCTGTTAGTAAGGTTCTGTATTTTGTCCAAGATTTCCTGTAGCTTTGTATGAATATTGAAAATATTTAAACTCTATGTATCTAAATCTGATTGTATTCCTTCTAGCTTTTCTCCTTATTGTTCTACTTGTATAAGACTGAACAAGTATGTAATTTCCTCTTGTATAGTCTTATAATGTAAGTCTTAACTTTGAGTAGACTTAATTATTCTGTTAAGACCTAATAATTGTTGTATCCAAGCCTTTGTCCTTGTAACCTAAAGACTATAATAGGTCCTTAATTTGTTTGAATAGGAGTAACTAGTGTATAGACTTGTTCTTTGAGCCAATCTTGTACTGTTCCCTAATTGACTCTTTCTCCTACTCTAAGAATATGTAACAAAGAGTGTTTCTACAAATAGTAGGAATATAAGAATGGCTGAGGGATTTAATAATAAAGGACTGTATAATAATAGACTTCTACCTGTATCTAGTACTAATTGTTGTATGTATAGTGTTCTAATCCTTTCCTTAATCTAATACAAAACTACTTTTATAACTTGTTAACTTTGTTTAGTATAATATTACAAAAGTTACTTACTTTTACAATATCTAAATATCCTTATTCTAGTACAAGTAGTGTACTGTGTAACAAATTATAATGTTGTTATAATGTGTATAAGTAGCTTGAGTATTCTTAGATTTGTTCAATCCAAATTTGTTAATTAATAGGAGTGTCTATTATGTAAGTAACAGTTGATACTACTCTTTCTTACTTAAAAGAGTTTAAGGGAATTTCCCCCTGTATTCAAAATGGTATTCCTTTAATACCTCCTAGTATTAATACTTGTTCCTGTGTGTAGACTATTAAATAATTAAGAACTAGTAGTACTTCTTAATTAATCTTTCTTTTCTTACTATAAAAGAAAGTTACTTACTTTAACAACTGTTCTAAGTAGTAGAGTAACTTGTCTACCTACTTTGAATACTAATTATTAAGGTTAGTTAATATTATAAAGTAAGTATTAGAGTTTATATACTTGTATACTAGCTCTAGGTTTGAGTTCCCCTTAGTAGACTAGAGCTTTACTAAAATAGTAAAGATTTGTAACTAAGTTGGAGTTTTATCAAAGTGTAAGATATACTCACTTTACTAGTCCTAATTCTTAGGAATAGTAATAGAATAGAGTATAAAGGGTAAGACTTGTAAACTTGTAGAGTAAGAGAGTAGAAGAGTCCTACTTTAGTCAAGCTGTAAGTATAGTTTAGTAGGTTAGTAGTAGAGTACTTCCAAGTACTAAGTAACTTAAGTTAATAAAACTATCTTTTGAGGGCCAAACTGGTCTCCTTATATACCTTTTACTAGAGTAATATTACTCTAGTAACTTTAGTAACTCTCTTTACTATTGTTCCTATAAAGTAGAGCTAGCTAATCCTTTAGACTGTATACTATACTGGTTTGTGTCTTCTATTAATCTTCTGACACTAGTTTGTGTCTTCTTATATTCTAGATTAATCTTCTAATGACTCCTTTACTATATTGTTATGTCTTTCATACTTTCTCTTATACTTCTAATGACTCCTTATGAGTCCTTCTAACTAGTTATACTGTGTAAGCTGTATAATACTTTTCTTATAAAGTAGAGCTTTCTATTGTTCTTATAGTCTTCTTATAACTCTGTCTGACTCAACCTATACTTCTTGTACACTAGTTTGTAATACACTTTCTTATAAGGTAGAGTATTATAACTTTTAATGACTCCTTATGACTTCTGTAATATAAAAGGCTGTACTTCTATACTGCCCCTAGAACTTACAACCAAAGTTCTAGACTGTCTTGTGTACACTCTAGAACTGACAACTAATGTTCTAAATCTTTCCCTAAGTCTTCTTTAATAGACTTAGTTTAGGAGACAATTATCCTTATTAACTTTTAGCCTTATCTTTATACTTCTGTATTCAATCCTAGAACTTACAACTAAAGTTCTAGATTGTCTTATGTATTCCTCATGTTGTCCTCATATAGTTCTTATGTTTATGACTTTATTACTTTCCTATCTGTATGAGTAAAGTGTATAAAGGAGACTACTTTCCTATAATCTCTCCTCAGAGCTTTCAGTTCCTTTCCTTTACACTAGTACTAGTCCTCCTCAAGTATAGAGCTTTAGAGTACTGGCTCTAACTCTTTACTAGCTCTGATAGTTCTTTGTCTTTGTACAAAGAGTTTCTAACTAACTATATAGTTTCTCCTATAAGTAAGTATAATATTTTCCTTTATCTCTTCAGGTTTTCTCCTAGTCTTTCTCTACCATTCTTCTTACTTTGGACACTATACTCTTTCCAGATCCTCTCTCTATACAAGTATTCTAAATGACTTGTCTTTAGTTGAGGTTATTAAGTAATGTAGTGCTAGAGTATGTGTTTGACTTTAGAGAGATAAAGACCTTGTCTACAGGTTTTGTTACCTTTTCCTAGCTGACTTAGTACTTACTCCTTCCTGTCCCCTCTCTCTACTAATGGATTGATCACCTATTAGTAATAATTAGAGGTTTATAATGCTGAGCTGGAGTTCTTACTAAGTAGGACAATAAAGGTAGCCTAGTTGATCTGGCCAATCTTTAGACTTGTGACTAATAGAGTTTTGTTTATAAACTACTTGGTTCTAAGTCTTGAGTTAGGCTTTCCAAACTTAGTTACTGTATTTTACAATTCCTAACATGTTTACACCTTTGTTGTACCAGTTCTAGTTTACTGACTATAATAAAGGTGTGTCTCATTATATACTAGAGTTCTAGTTTACTAACTGTAACAAAGATACTTTTGTCCTGTCAGTCTTTGTGTGTCCCACAATCTTTGAGCTCAGTGTTCAGCACTCTACCAGTACTGTTCCACTACAGTAGGTATTTAAAGAACAGAGATTAAGCAAACTATAAAAAATATAGTATTATTAACTAAATTTTACTTAGTATTCTGGAATTTAAGTAATAATTAAAAAAGATCTTACTTAGTTAACTTGTCAGACTGCCCATCGAATTTATAATCTTGCTTGGTTAAGGCTTGTTACGGATGGGGGTTTATTCAAGTTCGAATATTTTGCCATCTGTTACACACACAATCTGGCGGTCACGTGTACTATCAATTCCCCAACGTGTCAACCTGCGCTTCATCCTCCGAAATCATCGTTTGATTCGTTTCTCTTGCTCGTCCCTGCACTGGGCTGGTTCAATTCAACACACTTTCCCCCGATCATCTTTTACTGCAGCGGTACTCTTACGCGAAATATTTGCTTTTGCGTCTAAGCTCGAAGAGATTGGCCGTTGACTTGCAATGTTCTCAGAGGAACTCAAGACGATCCGGAGACTTGGATGGCGCTATGTGCGTGTTTCGTCTGTAGTTTGCTTGTTCCTTTACGCATCCTGAACTATCACTTCCTCGGTTACGCGAAACGTTGGCGCCTGGATCGTGACATCGTAATTGGTGCTGATTACATCGGCGGACCGCAGGCTTTCCTTCAAGTGCTCAATTTCGCCTCTGTCATTGCATCAGGCCTCATGATCTGGAAGGGCCTAGGTCTCATATGCAACACTGAATCACCGATTGTAGTCGTTCTTAGGTATGTTCCATTATTCCTACTTGTTACTGTATGGCATGCCGGGCCTGACGTTTGCATGATCTCTCCAGTGGCTCAATGGAGCCAGCGTTTTATCGTGGTGACCTTCTCTTTCTCACGAATCCGTCTGGCCAACGCTACAAGACGGGTGACATTACCGTGTACCGTATACCGAATGGTGATATTCCCATTGTCCACCGTGTGATCGAGACACGAGATGTTGTATCCGACGAGTACGTTATTTTGTGACTTTTCGATCATCACTTCTCTGTGCCATGCTATAGGCGTGCCTCGTTAGCTCATTCAACCCCGAAGCTTGCACATCGAATTGACGCGATGTTATTCTCACTTCTATTTTTGCGGGTTGGAAGATACAGACATTACTGATCCTTGGCTTTCCCAGCTACGTTGCTGCAGCACCGCTCGCGCAGAAACAGTTACTCCTTACCAAAGGCGATAACAATGCACAAGATGATATCGGGTTGTATCAGGGCTTACAATGGTTAGAAAAACGACACATTATCGGGAAAGTCGGCGGGTACGTTGCATTCGATCTTGCACATTAACACCAGCGTTCATTATTATTGCCTGTGCGTTGTGAAATAGATTCTTGCCGCATATCGGATATGTGACAATCGTCATGGTAAGCCTCTAGCAGTTCAGTTCATTGACAAATTGTCGGCGCTGAACCTGATTTGTAGAATGACTACCCGCAACTGAAATATGCTCTTCTGGGCGGGCTGGGATTGCTAGCGTTGGTACAACGGGAATAAGATTCCCGCTCCATACCTCTAAGACCCCTTTTTCTTTAACATTAATTCACTGCCCTTTTTTACTGTCACTTTTTCATTGTTTTGCCCCACTGATTTCGTTCACACTAGTATACAGAAAGCTTAGGTGCATTATTAACATCCATAGCAATAGCTGTTTGTCTAGATTTTTGAAGTGCGTTTCTTGAGTATATGTTTTTCCTGCGAAGGCAAAACAAATCTACAACCGAAGCGAAGATCGTGTACAGCCGGTGAATTGCCAGTGAATGAGTGAATCAATGCAATTAAATGCTACGCAGAAATACAAGTAAAACAATGTTGCATCAATACTGATGTGCAAACTTTCTGACATCACATCTTCTATTATCACTATCTGCACCCTCAGCTTATTATCCTTAATGAATGCGATTGATCCAAAACGCACCTTCACAACATGACTCGTATGCAAGTACGAACCGGAGAACATTTACGTGTCAGCACGAAGGCGTGCAGGCTTCTGATTTTCGACTACAAGCCGCCAGCCACCGTATAGCCGGTTCACTATCGCGCTACGCTGGAGGACCGTGAACTCTTGGACGGCATTGGCGTACAGTGCCCCCACGCGATTAGGGTCTTTCTCTCTCTGTTTGCGAGTCAGGCGATCATGTTCAACAATGGTCCAATGGCAAGGCATTCGCCCAAAAGAACAGGGGTTGTGTAAAAGGACCAACGCAAACGCCAAACGATTCCGATTAGTAGGTATCACCTCCCCCTCAAGACACGATGAAACATACCTGAATCTCCCGAAACGTATCATTCGTCCTCTGCAAGAAGTACTGACGAAAGTTGTATGAGCTGAATGAGCGCGAAGCACGCAATGTTGAGTGGTACAGCTGCCGAATGGCTTGCGCTGTTGGCGGTGCCATACTTCAGATGTCCTTGTTAAGACAACAAGTATACTAGTATGTCTGGTTGACGATGCACTGGCAGCAGAATGACAAAGCAACGTAAGAAGGGTCACGTGTAACGTTAGGTTAGGACGTAGGTAATAATAATATGATTCATGATTCATGAACGTTAGAACATGCTTTTCTTCCGTTAACAGTCTAGGCGGTTTACTATTCAATTTGATTGTAAGCTTTCAATAATTTATACCTTAGAAACAGGTATCGCAAAATATGACATAATGCATCATGTTAAAACTATCCTATAACAGAATGAATTGGGATTACTTACCACAAAAATCATATAATTCCTTAGTCTCCCCACATCTACCAAATAAAAGGGTCTATATTCATATCAGTGCTTCTTAATACTATTAGTGATTTCGTAGAGCTCTACAGTATCAACTTTCATAGTAAAGCGCTGTAGCGACCTGTACTACATCAATCATCTCCTCCACAGCATGAACACGAACGACAGAAGTACCCTGTCCGACAGCACACGTCACTGCTGCTGCTGTGGCAAAATCACGCTCCCTTGCAGGCCTCTCTTCTCCCTTTACTCTACTCCCACTCCCATCGCTCAAATCATTTCCAGCCCTGGCATCGTCATGAGCGAGCACATGGTTCCGCAAGAGTAGCGTCCCGAGAAATGACTTGCGCGATGCACCGACGAGCAACGGGAAACCCGCAAGAGGATTCCAGTTTGACGTGGTGTAAGGGCTTTTAGGAATCGAGTCTGGATGAGTATTGAATGATGAAGTCATCGGGGCAAGGGAAATATCTGCAATAAGCGAGCTTGCATTCCGCAGGAGGCATAGATTCCCATCCAGATCCTTACTAAACCCAATCCCAGGATCAGCAATGACCTGCCATCGCCGTAGAGCCCCTGCACCTTCAGTGGCTCGTAAAATCTTCCTTCCAAGCTCTGCACGCACACCTTCCAAGACACTCCGCTTAAATCCAGCGGCCTTGTAGTCGCTGTAATCTTTGTTCTGACCAGCGTCACCACGCGAATGCATCATCACCACCGGTACGCTTGCATCATGTGCAAGCTTGCGCATCTCAATGAAATGCGACATAGTTGAGGTATTACTGCTGGGATATTCTGGCCCACCGTTAAATGCATACACGTCGTTGATGAGGTTGGCACCCGCGGAGAGTGCAGCTTTCGCCACATTCACACGGAATGTGTCGATGCTGATCGGGATGGCTCGAAGGGAGGCGACGTTAGATGAACGAATAGCTTGGATAACGGGTACTACGCGGTCAATTTCCTCTGATGCCGGGATGCTAAGTGCACCGGGGCGAGTTGAATATCCGCCGATATCTATTATATCTGCACCAGCGTCTACGGCGCGCTTTGCATATGCGAGAGCGGTCTCGAGAGTTTTGTTCTCTCCGCCGTCGGAGAAAGAATCTGGCGTCACGTTGAGCGTCGCCATTATATATGTTTTCCGCAAACGGTTTTTTCGGAACTGCGAGGACATATTGGGGATGAGATCCGGGAGTGTCCAGTACGTCAGTGTTGCGGGTCCTTTGCAACCCGCAGATGGATGGAGGTCTTGGGAGATCGGGAATGGGAGCACCTTGACTAGGGTGGATGATTCACCTTCTGACATGAGCTGTGCGAGAAGGGATCGAACGGAGCGATGAAAAAGAGGATGGACCCATTCCGGGATGATGCTTCAGGAAGCACAAGATGAGAATGCGGTAAACGTAGCATCTAGCAGCTTACTCTTTTAGTGGCCGAAGGACAAATTCTCTGTCCTTCATACGTGGGTGTGGAATGACAAGATGGCCTTCTAAATTGTCCAGCGATGCACGATCCCCGGGAGCTCGGGAGTCAAAGGTATAATCCCCATACGTGACAATGTCAATGTCAATAGCTCGCGGGCCGAACCGCTCGCTTGGAACTCTACCAACTGTCCTTTCGATATGCTTGCAGACTCTCAGCAAATCGCATGGACTCAGTGTCGTTTCGACCTAATCAAAATATGAGTACGGTTGATACAGAATACAGTCTTTGTTTGTGAACCATACCAGACAAGCACAGTTGATGAAGGCGGGTTGCTCCTCCAGATACTGAGGCGGGGATTCATATAGAAAACTCGTGCTGACGACTTCAAGTTCGCCGACAGGCAGATCTTCAAGTGGGAGGGATCTCGAGTCCTCTAAGTAGCGTATGGCAAGCTCTATATTCTGAAATCGGTCGCCGAGGTTGGCTCCCAGGGCTAGCGCAGCAAATATCTTACCCGTTGTCTTGTAGCTATAATCGACGAATATTAAAAGTGTTATTAAATTCTAGAACACTGAATAGACTTGCTCATAAAGTTCAGCCGTCAACAACGGGAAATCTGAACTTGTGCGCGTAATCTTGATCTCGGGTGCTTGGGCTGAAATAACAGCTGCTGGTTTCTCGAGCCTAACTGTGACCTTAAATGATGCAGGATCTTTCAGCCACACGAAACACCTTCGGGCAAGTTCTTGGCCTAAGGCTTCAATAGTTCCGTATGCTGAAGCTTCAATGAACTGAATATGTCTGAGTCGAATAAGGGTGAACCAAAAAGCAGTGGACCCCTCACTTCGGATATCCGGTACTCAAGCTCAGCAAAGTCAAATTTGAGGTTCCTGCGACCTTGCCTCGCGTCATCAAATTCGATATTGACTACTACTGGTTGCTTATACTCGCGTTCGTATGAGCGTATGCCAACAATGGCGTGAACGGGAAGCTCGATGATAAAGAAGCTATGTCTCTTCTTCCTTTCTTCGCCCGGTCTCCACGAAAGTTTCACGCCAGCACCCTTCGCGCGCAGCACCATCTTTGGAAGCTCAAGATCAACATCGATTTGTCGGGTCGGGTGCTCGAGGTCTCTAAGCACAAACTCAAGAATGCGCTCGGTTAAATCGTACGGAGTGTCAGAGACCGGACCATCCACTCCAAGGAGCCCGCACGCTTTTTCAACATTCTTGCTAACCTTCGAGTAATCGATGGATAGTGAAACATCATCGGATTGGGCAGCGGCTTGGATGTCGTGCTGAATGTCAACAGAGACGGTTATAGGCTGCGTCCTGGCCGGTGATTCAACGTTTACAGAGGGCCAAGGACTTCCCAGAATAGAGCAATGAAACATGAGTCCACGCACTCTTATATGGTCGTCCATGATCGTTTGGTCTGTCTGATTCATGTCGGCGGACAGTCGGCCGCAAGCAGTCTAACGTACTTACCGAAAGGCGGTGCACGTGACCCTATTGCTATTTATGCTAAACGTCATGCAATTATACCAAATTTGATTCAAATCTGGTATGCAGTATCTACCAATGTTGTTGTATTGTTAGCAAGCATTTATGGTGATATATTTTGATATGGAATGAGGATAAACATGTTTCATCCTTTAGTTCAACAAAATTAGGCCTTTCATAAATTCTCTTTTAATAATTACATTAGAGATATTTTATTGTGCTCTATACACTTCAAAAACTTGTGGCTAGATTAGTTATAACTTCAGGAATGCTAGAAGAATAGTAAACTACGTGCAAAGTACATTCTGGTATGTTTAGAAAATAGTCTAGATGCTGGCCAAATATTACAGTAACAGTAGTAATGACAAAGTACACTGGCAGCTCTATGGCCCGTGCATATGATAGGTTACTAAGTCCTGCTGCAATTATTGGACGCATCACTGACTCAGAATGTAAAAAAAGGAAACAGCGAGTATTAAAAGTGTAGACTGTGGGAGCAACGAGTCTCAAATAATTTGAACAGCTTTCTAAAGAACGGACAACTGTGAAGTGGCTTAAGTACCACGAGATAACGATACAGAACTTAACAAACACATCCGATTCCCAAAGCCTTGTAAAAAAAAATGATGGACAGCATAAACATAACGTATAAAGATGTTTTGAAGTCCCGTAGATTCAAACGATGAATTGAGTCGCTATATTCTTATGAGTACTCATTCAGTCTTTACCCGTACTCAACATATCCCGATTGCCTGTCCTTCTTCATCTAGAAGGACGAGTTTAGCCCTTAGAAGGGGACGAAATCTAGTTTTCTTCTGAATGGGTGCAGCGGCCGAGCGCAATTGATACTTTGTCGATGTCGAAGTCAGTTTCGGTGCCTCGCCCTTCCACGGAATCTCGATTTCAGTCCTCCAAGCATCGAGCACCGACCGCACATGCATTGTAAGGCGGGTGTCGTGGTAGATCTTTATGTAAGTGCAGTAGTTGAGGTTCTTTGGTGAAAGCGGAGTAGGCCATAACGAGTCGGTGACGAGTCCATTCGAACGTGTCTGTCGCATATTTGCCGACGTGATGGCATTCAACTGAGCTTCCATCGCAGATGCTACGTGAAAGGAAAGGGATATTGCTCCTAGTGCCTGGTGCATACGAATCACGAGAAGGTCTTCCCAGAACATGCGAATCGCTCTCGGAGTCCAGCTAATAATGCAAGGAGCCGCGAGGACTTGAGTCGGTTGAGAGGTAGAGGTTGTTTGTGCAGCATCTATTTGCGCAGTTGAGACCTCTTTCCATGGAAGTTTGCCCTCGACAGGAATAACCCACGCACTTCGAGCATACGGGTCTCTAAAATAAGTCTCCGCTCTACTCGGCGAGACAGGTCCAATGGAAATGAAAGGCGCCTTAGAGAAGGGCTCAAAACGCTGTATGATTTCTAATTCTGAGCTTTGGCTGACAGTCGCATGCGAGTAAGGGTGATGATGCGGCTGTGGGATCAGGTTGTATAGGGATATCTTTACACAGTCAACAGACTGCCGCTTCCTTGGACTCTGTCCATCATCATAACCATCTACAATCGTTGCGTCCAGTACATGCTTCCTCCCGTTATGGGTGCGTCTCTCGACTTGGACCTGGGCGGACTGCGCCGCGGAATTGCACGAAGACCCCTCACAGGCCAGCACGTATGAAAAACTGGTGCCCTCGAATTCTTTGAGCTTTGAAATATCAATCACTTCTCTTGCGACTGAGGAGTCGTTCCACTGTTTGAGGCCCTCAGAATGCCGCTCTTTTTCTACATCGCGTCGAAGGGGCGACCGCGGAGGAGGGGCCCTTTTGAATACGAGCATGCGATTACGTCCCACCGTGTCTATGATGCTCCTTGAGGTCGTGGCATCAATCACGAAGAGCCTGTGCTCACTTAGATCAGGCAATAGATTGACGGTGTGCCATCCATCACGACTTTCGAGCGCAGAGACAAGGTAGCGACCCCTCGAAAGAAGCTCATCACGCGATAATGACCTGCCGTTTGTGCTTCCCGCATTCGGTGGAGTGAAGCTATGGACAACGAGCGAGCTTGTGCCAGACTCCATGACACAGCAGTGGCATGATCAGCTTCCTTTCTTGCACAATGAACTTGAAGGTACAAGGGAGGTCCAAGGGATCGTTAGAGTTAGAGGAACAAGAGTTCCTGCCTGAAACGCGTCTCGATCGTCGGCTGTTTCCAAGTTTGGGCCATTTCTACTTTTATCAACACGTGTACGCGCCAAACGCGTAGTAGAACCCAGATTCCGCTTGCTCGCCGACTGCCACGATGGCACTCACTCTGCGCCGTCGTTGAGCATTCGCGACGCTCAGGCCGGAAATCTACTGCACGTGTGGATAAGGTGCGCAGTTGGATGCGCTTTTCTCGTATCATTCCAAGCCAATCCAGCGACTCAATCACTGCAAGCACCTTCATCACTCGTTGCAGATTCCCTTCTTTTGTACCCAGGATACGACACCGCTCTTTTGTCCAGCACATCCTATAAAATATACGATTGGAATGAGACATACGATCACAGTAATTTACTAAAAAAATGACCACTCCTTTACGTTCTCCGTATACCGCTGCCCGTTCGAGGAGGCCTCACAGACCGCTCCCTGCTCTGCCTACTGCTAAAGGAACGAAAGGAGAGCTTGTACGACCTTCTTATCTTGTTAAAGACGACTTATGCAAGCCTTTCAAACTCTTGGAGTCGCATCCTTTAAGGTAAAGGTTTCATTTTACTTATCTCCTCTCGAGTCCAATTACCTCTTCTCCCCCTCCCCCCCTCCCCTTCGCGCTTCTTAAGAACGCGCGGTTCATTCTTCTGTTATGGAAATATACTGCCTCTTCTCCTAGAAACGTAACGCCTATCTTGAATCCTCATTACCAAAGCCTTATTGTCACTGCATTTAATGATCATAACTAACCAACTTCCACTCCGTAAAGCTTAATTTGTCAATATCACAATGTAAAGCGCGTGTCACTCGAAGAAGGTGTTCCTCCTCCATCCAAACTCGATGTGCCTATTATTCATAGCGCTACTAACGATCCTAATGCATTTCTACCGACCCACGTCCTTGCCGTCTACGACCAGGACCTCTCGTCCGAACGAAACGAGAGCAATCCAACTCTTTCACGATGTTCAGCAGGCGCACCCGCGGGCCTTCCTTTGCTTCCGGCTACTCCCCTTATGGTCCCAGTGAATGCAGAGCTGTGGTCGCTCTGCTTCTCCTCTACAATATCACCGGAAACAATCCCGTCAACTATGTCATCCCCGTCTCTTCCCGAAATTGATGCTGCGCGTCGACACTCTCGGACGGAATCATTAGTGTCGAGTTCTTCTCAATCAAGTAACAGAAGCTCTCTAACGCAAATGCGACCGCGTTCCGTTCTTTCATTACCTGTGTATGTCGTGCGAGTACCATCGGCACAGGCCCTTCCGTTGTTGTTACTTGCCAGTCTGAGAATTCTTCCCAAGGATCACGTACTGACCGCTCTGCTTCCTAGAACGGTCCTTGCAGAACTTCCTTCACCTCCTGCAATCCTCGCGCAACACCTTCTGAATTGGTTGTACCCCATTCAAGAAGGACGAGAAAGGAGCCTTAACGATGTCATAGCCCACACTCCGTTTTCCGAACCGATTCTAATGCCTCGGAGTCCATTACGCACGTGGAGTTCCCGCCTTCCGCCTTCGCCGTCACTCTCACCTGCGCTCAACACACGTACTGACAACGTGAAACGGCTATCATCAATTTCAGCGTCCTCAGTGACATCAACGAACTCGAGCGCGGCCTCATCGTTTCCGTCCTCTATGTCGCTCATCTCTCCGTCATCAAGTGATCTAATCACACCTGAACCAACATGTGCCTTAATAGATCCAACTACAACAGACGATCCAGATCTCCGCCTCCTTGCACTTGCGCAGCAGAACTTCGGGGTTTGGGCTGACGCACTTGCACTAGGTGTTCGTGACGCCAATGTCGTCAAGCTTGTCGACCTTGCGCGGTCTGTTGCTTCCGAGGCACGTCGGGTGCGATTCGGGGAACCGACGACTTTTGCGATATATGGTACTGAAAGGCGCCAAGGTTTCGCTGCGTAGCCTTCAAGCACGAAGCCGGAATCGGACGCCTATACCATCCTTTGGAGACACGTAGATGAGACTTACTTTACTGCTGGAACCAACAATGACCCAGCAGAGGTGGAAGAAGGTTGCCTGTTACATCGGAACGAAATCCGTCCATCCAAAGCAGCCTCCACTCTGGAAAGTCTTTCCTCAAGCATGGAACCTTTTAATGACGCCTCAACGCTCCCTCCAGGAGCCCAAGCTAATTCGATAAAAAGAACTGCACTTCTTTCATTTTATTTTATTCTCTTTACCCGCTAATGGTCCACTTGCACTTGCCTTCGGCTCACGACTTCTTTCTCCTATCGTTATTTCCTGCGGGTCATTCTTCCACTTGTCTATGTTGGAAGTTTATAGCCTTTGTCCATGTACATCTAACTGAACATCGCTACCGCTACTCACGTCTCTCAGTCTTACTTTTCCTCTGCGCTCATCGATAGCTTCCCTTCTTTAATATTCATCACAGATTTCCTCCATACCTAGCACTCATTTTGGCCAACATCGTCGCATACACTACACCAAGACGTTTATAATTTATAATTTAGCTTCGTAGAATACATATGCTACGCCAAATTACTCCTAATTGTCTACAGCTCTGCCTATGTCGTACTTCCATTACTGCTTTTCATCATATAAATAAACATGCTAAGTCCCATCCCCACGAGCTATATGTTAAAAGGTCTTCGCGCGAATGAAATCGTGGAAAAGGGGATCGAGGGGGTCACGAATAATCAATACAACAAGCAAGTGACCTTTAAAAGAGAAGGGGATTGATGCAAAACGGTCTAGTACCGCATGAAGTCATCTAATAAGAAATCGAGGGAAAACGAAACAAAGAAGCGTTTACTCAGTCAAGGAAGCCACTCGTCTGATCAAGTCTCAAATACTCTGGATACCACGTCCATGCTGCATATCTCTTGTTTTACAGCCCCTTCATGTAGCTGTGCCACTGACGCAGTGTCTGAATCACTCGCCTTCAAAGTAGAGCAGGTAGAGGCAGAACTTCGTAGTTCGGTGGTCAACTCAATTGTAAGGGCTCTAGTTTTGGTCAATGGAATCCATGTGCAGACCCAATCAGCCACTCGCCCGCCATCCTTTTCTTGCGTCCACTTCGTTCAGAGATACTATTTGCTCCTCCGGGTTTGGAGTCCATTTGACCGGGGCTGCTGTTAGTGAAGTTCCCCAGTGTCGGCTCGGTCGCGAGTGACAGCCCAGACGATGTGGTAGGTGCCGTAGTGAGCACAGGGACAGATGAGCTATCGCCTTGTGCAGAGGACATGATAGCACTTGCAATGCTTGGCAGCTTGAGCGGCTCCGGAAGAGGAAAATCAAGGCCCAACCCTAGTCCACTGACATCTGGTGAAACATCTTGCGGCAATAGAGACTGGACGGGGCTTGGTGTCATTGCCGACGATTTGTGCAAGTCAGGCATTGTCTTCGAACGACGGAGGTCCGTCTTCACAGCCTTCATTGGTACCAGTCTGGGACTTAGATCAATACTCGCTCTTCCGCCTTTCGACACATCTGGTGAAAACAAAGAATCGCGATGGCTGGCACGAGCAAGCATGTCCATCACGACAGATATGTCCACCACCTCGTCGTTTACAGAAATATTCGATAGGATGCTCTGCATGGACGCAACACGTACGAGCCGACGAGAGTGCCGTTCTTCCTGCGAGGACATCTTGCTGTTGTAGGTAATGAGCTTCCGGAGCGCTAGGATTTCTCTCTTATTGCGCCGTGCCTCTTTTTCCAGAGCTACGATCTGACTTTCGAGCTGAAACTTCTCAATCTGGTGACGCTGAATGATTTGAAGTAAATGGCCTGCCAGCTTGTCAAACCGTGCACATTGTACATCCAAAGCCTGTTGCAGATGAGATGTAGTCACAGAGTTATTGTCATAGCCAGAGGATCTTCCTTTCTTGTCCTTACTCAGAATGACGCGTGAAGTGTCCTGCTGTAACGGGAAAGACTTCTCAGAAATATGATCAAGGCGATCAATCTCACAGGCCTGGGAAGTTGGGTTTCGCGTACACGACATTTCTGAACATTGAATGGACCCTGGTTGCGCGTGAGTAACAAATCGCTGATTGTAGGGAACTGTAGCCTGGAGTGTACTATACGCAAGTGCTCCATCGGCTTTACCGACTAAGAAAGACTGGGGGCCGACTTTAGATTCACCAAGAGGCGAATACGGATTATCACCAGAAGACGCAGACATCAACGCGGACAAAGGGCTCTGAGACTCTAGTGTAAATTCGTTTTCCTTCTTGTCCTCGATCCTCGGAAATTTGACTGCGGGGCCAAAGCCACCCGATACAGACGGAGGCACAGATGAATTCGGGGCATAATTCACAGGTGGATTTACGACTGACCGTCCCTGAGTCGCGTACGCAGCCTGATTCCCAAGATGGCGACTACCTTCATAGCTGTCATCGTAATGAGATGAGTCCTCGCTGTCACCGACTTCAACGCCAAGCTCAGCTTCCAACATGTTGGCAACAGATATCGTCACTTTTTCTTTACCAATGCGAACATGGGAGCCTCTAGGTCTTGCGGTAGGAGATTCGACAGTAGTAGAATCGGCAATCATCACCATCCTCTTAGTCTCGGGTGAAAGTTTTTGATCCTGAGTCAGGACAGAGTGCCTTCTAGACGACTTCAGAGATACTGCATTCGAGAGAGAGGCAGGACTTGCGATAGCCGTCGGACTTGAGGCACACTTCATAATAACCTGCGTTTGGTTTGCGTGTATGGAGGTTCCTTGAGTAGGAGACTTAATTGCTTCTGCTACACTGAAGAGAGTGCCGTGCTTTTGACCTGGAAGAGTAGCGGTAGACTGAGAAGGTCCAAGAGGAGTTCCGAGTGGAGAATTATCCGGAAAAGTGAAGCTCAAATTAGGGGGCGTTGGAGCAACGCGTGGAGAAGTGAAGAAGTCCTTGTCATCGCCGAGGCTTTGCCCGTTTGATATACATACGGGGTGTACTATTTCTTTGCGTTTAGAAGCCAACGAGAACCCAGCTTGATACTCCTTAAGAGAATCATCAGTCCTACGAGCTTTCGTGCCAGACTTAAGATCTGCAGAGGAGTATCGAGCAGATAAGGAGGGACGAGAGGTGATGCGAGAGAGAAAAGATGCTTTGGCAGGTTTCTCGGAGGCACGTTTGTTTTTGAAGTTTGTCTGCTCAGGAGTCGAAGTCTGGGTGCTTCCAGACGGAAGCATAGTATGGCGCGCATCAGCGGATCTACCCTTTGTTGGTGTTGCATATGCAGATTCCTTTCCGGGCTTGAAAGGGGATGCATCGAATGTGGGTGCTAATTCCAGATTGCCAGTAGAACGTGAACCAGCTGTATGCAAACGCGCTTGTCAGACGACCGTTCAAAGAGCCATTTCAGCAACCACGCACCAGCTCCGAGAGAGGATCTCGCAAAACGAGCAGCCGTCCTGTAGACCATATCTGATGCTTAATACCTACAACAATCCATAACAGACGAAACGACAAAACATACTCATTCGCTAACTGGGATACAGACTTATGATGTCCTCCATGTCTCGAACCATCTTCATCTCTTTCTGGTAGTTTGCTCGACCGGAGGGTTGCAATCGACTTGCGCCGCTTCCCCAGGAACGGAATGATACGCATCCTGTTGAAGCCACGCGAACGTGAGGAGTCCCTTGGATTGTGGGACTGGTTCTCGTTGAATGGTTCAGTGGCAAAGGACGCGGACGCGTGCTTGTTCCCTGGTAGTGAGTCCCGCGTATTGATTGTGCGATTTAACTTCGGAGAGCGAATGTAAAAAGGAAAGGACATGAAGAATGTACAGGCGAGGGTGAACTAGCGTCAAGACGCCTAATGAAGATCCTGGATTGGTCCACGGGTGGCAAGATTACACTTGAATCGTACCGTCATCCACCAGTCCTTGAACCATTACTACTCCTTGAACCACCCCTGTCATTTTACAGCCACAACACCTTTTTTCATAGTAAAAAAATGTGTTAAGACTTGAAATAGTATAATATTAGTGCAAAAAAATAATGAAATAAAATTATGCATTATTGATAGAGATATACACGAAAAACTGTAAAAATGTTAAGAATTGCACCTTTTTGAAATTTTTATGAATTAATTATTACTCGAATATTGAGAAATTTATTATTTAAAAAATTCACTGATATAAGTACTAGTGCTAACTATTACTGTGCAAACTTTTATATGAAAATAACAAGTAGAACATGAGATAAAAAATCAGTAGTGTTCAAACTGTAATAACAATAGTTAGATTCGTTACTGACATCACAAATCAGGTCACGTGATCTAAGCTGTAATATTGGTAACAACTCCCAAGTTTAGTAAACTATTAATTAATATTATACAATATACATTATTTTAATTATAATTAAAATCATAAGTATTAATAATTAATACTATATATTTACTATTGAAAATATTGGTAGGGATGAGGAGAATGACTCTAAGGAGGGGTAACAAATACTGTGGGAAAATAGTAGTTTAAGGAGTAGTAGAACCTACTTTTGGGCTATAAAATGTATACTTAATTTGTCCTTCATTTCTTATTTTTTTTACTTAAAAATTTTATACTTTATACTTGAGTACATATATTTAATTATAGTAATATTTTTTTGTAAAAGAATTGTGTGTAGTTGTGTAAATTAAAAGACAAAATGTTCTGATTCAAGACCTAGTGAATGACAGTAATTCAATTCTGAACATTCTGAGATCTTAGAATGTAGAAGTAGCAGGTCAGATTGTACAGATTTAGACTCAGATAAAGTGTGAAGAGAAGAATCAAAAGAATCAGAAGAAATAGGAGAACTATCTACTTTTGTTTTCAACTTTTTTCTTTCTAATAAATAATTTTGTTGATTTATTTTTTCTACTTTTTCTACTTTTTCTACTTTTCTTACTTTATTTACTTCTAATCCTACAGTGTCCATTGAATCAAAAGTAGCTATTAAAAAATCCAAGTCATAGCCCTTTAGTACTACATTCACTGTTAGGCCTCTACAAAATCCTAGAGTGTATAGTTAGGGTCTAGGAGTTCTAAGGTGACTTCCAGATTTGTGGAAAAGGCTTCTCACTACAAATCCTGCTTGTCACTCATTATTACTCTAATAACCTGACAGATGTACTGTTGCTTCTGTAGGCAGTCCTTAATTTGGTGCCCTGACTTTCTGTAGACAAAGTATGCTCCTTACTTTTAGGCTTCTCTAATGTCTATTAGAACAGATTGATTGTGAATTACAGGCAGATTGATCTGAGGGCTCAGAACTGTCAGAGCTGGACACATGTGTAAGCATTCTACACAGACTTGATGTATCCAAGCTGTGGCTTAGTTGAAGGAGATAGTGTGTGTCTTCTACTCAGTGTAGGTGACTAGTTCTGACATTATTCTGAGAATCTTATTAACCAGTTCTAGGTGAAGAGCTTTTTCAAGCATTCTAATAAGGACATTATTGAACCCAAGCATGAATCCTGCCTTCTAGGCCAGGATATCAAACTCCTGAAAGAAGGCATTAGTAGAACGTTTGCCCTGTTACAGAGACACAAGCTTGTTCTGTGTATTACACTTCTCATTCAGATTAATGAAGGAAGTACAGAGCTGCCCTATGAATTCTGAGTACAACTTATTGTTCTAAAGTTGGATCAGGCTTCTAATCCAATAGTCTTTAATCCAGTTCTGGGCCTAGGTGGCTGTGTTGCCTTCCTTCATGAAGGAGAGGATGAATAGGACACAATTGAGATCTGAGGATAGATCAGTCAAAGTAGTAGCCACATATAGTTTGACTTAGTGCTGAAAGTCTTTAAAGTGCTACCTATTAAAGTCTGAAGGGTAGGCTACATGTACTTTCTTTCCAGAACAGGTTGCAACTTCTGGAACAATCAGAACAGGTTCTGAAGGGGTTAGGGGCATGTGGTTAGTAAAGGCCTCTTAGATAGAGGTCTACATGTATTAAGTTAGTTCTGCTTGTAACTACTAATCTGGTAGGACAGCAGGGGTGGTGGTTGGTGTAGTAGGGTCTATGTCTACACTAGAAAGGGATCAATACTTAACTAAAAGGGGTAATGAATAGAAGAAGGGTGGCAAAAGTTTAAAAGGGTTTAGAAAGTTTAAAATTTAAAAATGTAAAAGGGTCAGGACAAAGGAAAGAGATTGACACAATAGCAAGTACTAATGCCTGAAACATAAGAGAGTTATAGGGTAGTAATAGGTAGTCTTAATCTGATGTCAGTAACAGTGTAGAGGGGACCTGAAGGCTTGGTAAGGGGACCCAGGCTACAACTATCCTACACAACAGAAATATAGAATGTGAGTACTAGAACATAGTCAGAACTTGCAGAACAGGCAGAGAGAGAGAGTGAGACAAGAGTAGAGTATATAGAGTGAGCCTAAGAGTACAGGACTACCTGGAGTAGACAAGATCAAGACTACAGGACCAGTCTGATCTTGTATGCCTATATATACTAAACTACACAAGAGTACTCAGGAAGCATGAGCCACTAAGAATGATAAGCCACAAAGAATGAAAGAAAGGAATGTCAAAGATAAAGGTACAAAGAATGAAGGGATGGACAAAGGGTAAGAGACTATAGAATGATACAAAGAATGAAGGGGTGGTCAAAGGAATGGAATGATGAAGTAAGGAAGGGTAGTAGCAAGAGTCAGCATGCATATAGTCTATAGACAGTGCCCCTGAGGGACAGAAGTCCTGAGTTCTGGTACAGAAGGGTGTAGAACCCTCAGAACTGAAGGTACAAGAGTGGAGAACTGTAACACAAGCCACCTTTATAAGCTAGTAACAGAACTACTATTACCTGTTACTGTCTCAATCATACAGGACACTATAGTATGTGTAACAATTATTATATTTGACTCATGTTACCCAGCCCTATTTACTACTTAGTAGTTTGTCTATAGTATTAAGCAGGGATAGCCTCAGCTGAGTTCACAGCTGAGGACATAGGTCTGTCCTTGTTGAAAGAGAGAGGTTAATAAGGAAATGTTAGTGTATATACTTACCCTCTTAGACAACAAGGCTGTGCAAGCTGTACATTCCCTTCAGAACAAGTAGCAGTTCATCTGAGGACATTCCAGGCACTAGCTCTAAGTCCCTGTCCTCTTGGCTCTCTTCTTAGGATCCCCCCAGATCCAAACAACAGCTCTGGTAGACAGTAAATATACTAGTTCATACATTAATAAGGCCTTTGTGTAGGAACACTACCTCCCTACTTGATGTGTTCCACTTCTGATCCTAGTATACAATATAGACAGAACCCTGAACCAGAATGGTTGGATCACTGAGTTTGTCCAACTACAGATGACTATTCAGGATTATGAGGAAAGTATTGAGTTCAGAGTTACTAACCTTGAAAAGACAGATGTCTTCATTGGATTTGAATGGCTCAAGGCTCACAACCCTACTATTGACTAGTTAGAGTAGACACTTGTATTTGATTAGTGTCCTGAGTCTTGTAGCTACCTTACACTACTGTTCCAAGTAGATACAGATGCTTCTAATGTTACTAACAGTTCTAATAAAGGTGACTAGTTGTTCTTCTTCAACTAGGATAAATATGTAGATACATATTCTAGTCAAGGTAGAATAGAGTCAATCCAAAGGATGTCTGAGACAGAACCAGTCTGGAACCCTCTTAGAACAACTCTACTCTGGAATGTATACAGACCCAGCCTGCCAGATTTTGTCCAAGAGTTCCTCAAAGTCTTCAGTGAAGAGGAATTCAACCAGCTTCCTGAACACTGTCCCTGAGACTATACAATTGAATTGACTAAGGGTTTCTAACCTAAGGATTACAAGGTCTACCTACTTAACAGAGACAAGTAGGAGGCACTTAATGAGTTCCTTCAGGAAAATCTTTGGAACAGCTGGATCCAACCCTCAAAGTCCTCTATAGCCTCCCCTTTCTTCTTTGTCAAAAAGAAAGATAGGAAGCTCTACCTAGTCTAGGATTATTATTGTCTCAATAAGGGTACTATCAAAAACAAGTACCTACTCCTCCTGATTCAGGAGCTTATTAATAAAACACATACATTCAGGGTTTTTACTAAGTTGGACATTTGATAGGGATACAATAATATTTGGATCCAAGATAGAGACAAGTAGAAGGCTGTGTTCTGAACCAATTACAGATTGTACAAACTAACTATAATGTTCTTTAGACTAACCAACTCACCTGTAACATTCTAGTCATTCATGAATCACATCCTTACAGATCTGATTGACTCAGAGCACATTAGTGTGTATCTAGACAACATTCTGATCTTCACCTAGACAGTTGAGTACTATTACTGACAGATCTGAGCAGTTCTACAACAGCTCTAAGATAATAAACTGTTCCTCTAAGAAGCAAAGTACTCTTTTACACAGGAGTCAGTAGATTATCTGGGCTTTGTGATCAGTAGAGGAGAGGTCTGTATGGATCCAGCAAAGGTGACTATAGTTCAGAACTGGCCACAACCTCAGAACCTGAAACAGGTCCAAGCATTCCTTAGGTTTGCAAACTACTACTAACACTTTATTTAAGGCTTCAGTACTATTGCCCAGCCCCTTCATAATCTTACTAGCAAGGATGTCCCTTAGTAATAGGATAATTAGTAGTAGTCTGTGTTTGAGTCCCTCAAGCAGGCTATTACTAGTAAGCCTGTATTAACAGTTCTGACAGTTGTGGACAAGTTCTGAGTCAAAGCTAATTCTTCCAACTTTGCAAATAGAGTAGTACTGTCCCAGTTCATTGATGGAAAGTAGTGTCTGATAGTGTTCCAATCAGAATCCCTCTCTACAACAGAACAGAACTACCCTATCTATGACAAGGAACTCCTTACAATTGTCTGTTCCCTGAAAGAGTAGTGTCAATATCTCCTTAGTATAGTGTAGAAGTTCAAGATCTAGAGTAATCACCTTAATCTCTAGTACTTCTGAGTGTCTCAGAAGCTCAACCACTACTAGACCTGTTAGATGTTAGAACTGTAGGACTATGACTTTGTGCTGACCCACAAACCCAGAACACAAATGATGAAAGCTGATTTACTCTTGAGACAAGTAGGTTATGAAAGGGGAGAGAATGATAACAAAAATCTTGTTCTCCTAGACAATTCCTGTTTTGTGTCTGAGACAATCTAAGAGATCTGACTCAAATCTAAGAATGTTGACTTTGTCACCTACATACAGTAAGCTCTAAGACACACACAGGACTAGGTTGTAGTAAAGTAACTAGAAAAGTAGGCTAAGGATTAGGAGGAGGATAAGGATGGACAGGTTTACTAGGAAGGCTGACTGTATGTTCTAAAGGATCAGAAGCTGTAGGAGGACATTATCTGAGCTCATCACAACAATCTGACTGTAGGACATCCAGGCTAACACAAAATGTAGGAACTCATTACTCAGAACTACTAGTAGCCTAGAATGTAGAGGGAAATCCTGAAGTACATGACTGGTTACAATACATACTAATAGACTAAGGCCTACTGGACAAGGGTTCAGGCTCTCCTACATCTGTATTAGATCCCAGATCACTCTTAGGAAGAAGTCTTGGTAGACCTGATTAGTAAGCTACCTGAGTCTCAGAGTTACAACACTATCTGTGTGATTGTCAACTGATTCTCCAAGCAAGTCTACACAGTTCCAACCTGAACAGAACTCACTTCCAAAGGTATGACACACATTTATCAGGATCATGTTTTCTGGTTACACAGACTCCCTCAGAAGCTCATTCATGATTGTAGACTGTAATTTGAGTCAAAATTCATGTAGGACTTGTATACACTTCTCAGAATTCAAGGGAACCCTTCTACTACTTATCACCTACAGACTGACAGTCAAACTGAGTGAGTCAATCAGGAGATCAAGCTCTACCTCTAGATGTTCATCAATTATTAGTAATCAGATTGGTCTGAATAGTTAGCTCTAGCAGAATTTGTGCACAATAACTAACAACACTCTATAACAGGACAGTCCCTGTTCTTCCTCAATCATAAGAGACATCTGTACTAGAGGACTGTTCCAAACTGGAATGACAGTTCTGAATCTGTAACAGACTTTGTAGAACAGATGCACAGAACCAGGGAGGACACACAAGCTCTTTTGGAAAAGGTAGTACAGGTCATGAAGCAGAACTATGATTAGAAGAGGTCTGTAGCTAAGGATTACCAGCCTAGTGACAAAGTTATACTAGAAGCTACTAACCTGACCATGGATTGCCTAATAAAGAAGTTGGACAACAAGCACTTCAGACCCTTTGTTATTGAAAAGAAGGTCAGCACCTCTGTCTACAAACTCTAACTTCTAGCAACATGGAAGTACATACACTTAGTGTTTAACAAGGTTCTACTGTCTTAATACTATGATCCAGGTTTTCCTTCACAACAAAGACCCCTACTGCCTCCACCAGAACTCATTAGTTCTGAACCAGAATACAAAGTAGAGTATGTAGCAGATGCTAAGCTAGTGTACAGAAAGCTCAAGTTCCTTATCTACTAGAAGGGATACCCAGTTGAAGAATGTACTTAGGAACCTACTGAGAATCTCACCCATACTACTAAGGCAATCTAAGACTTCTATTAACTTCATCTGAGTACTCTACATCAACTCTGCCTCACAGATTTCCAAACCCTACTGTTCTGACCTATGCCTGAGCTGCTGACCAAGCCCAATGCTCACCAATCAGGACAATTGGTTTTAGAGGGGGGGTGATGTTACAGTTCTCTACTCTTGTACCTTCAGTTCCAAGGGTTCTGCACTCTTCTGTACCAGAACTCAGGACTTCTGTCCCTCAGGGGTACTGTCTATGAACTATATGTGTGCTGACTCTTACTACTACCCTTCCTTACTTCATCATTCTATTCCTTTGACCACCCCTTCATTCTTTGTATCATTCTATAGTCTCTTACCCTTTGTCCATCCCTTCATTCTTTGTACCTTTATCTTTGACATTCCTTTCTTTCATTCTTCATAGCTTATCATTCTTAGTGGCTCATACTCCCTGAGTGCTCTTGTATAGTTTAGTATA